AGATGCTGGCCAATGCTCTGCAGACTGGCGGTAATCCTGTTTTTGATCCTATGTTCAATACATTTTCAACTTATCTTTTTTTGTGATGGTTAATCATCAGCTTGACAAACTCAATATTTTGCATTTTGTTTTTCAACCCTCTGACAGATGATCATATTGCCATCGGTGGTGATTGTGATGAACTTGGAGCACAGATCGAGGAATATATCCTTTTATTTTAAATAGAAAATCTGAAAACATTATGAATATTTGTTAATTAAATTAATTAAATGCTCAATCAGTTATTAAAAGTGCTTTGGGTTAATGTTCTGGAAATCAATCAACCAGATAAGCTGTTATATTTTTTCAGTGTAGTTTATTAATAATGAAGCATAAGTAACACATTGCTGAAACTAAATTCCTTGACCTGCTATCACGCATCTTCCAAGAATTTAAGAACACAGACCCGAAATACAAAAACCGTGTCCGGAGCCGGATCTCAAATCTCAAAGATATGAAGAACCCTAATTTAAGGAGGACTGTGTTATGCGGGAGTGTAACCCCTGAGCGGATGGCTAAGATGACGGCTGAGGTGTGTTGATGATTTAATCACTGGCTTTACCCCTGAGATGCCATAGATTGATCATAAGATTGTTTATCTAGTGTTTCAACAGTGGCAGTTTTTAATTGATGTATTTATTTATAAGTATAACCCGAACCTGCTATCCCTCTGTAGGAAATGGCCAGTGATGAGTTGAAAGAAATGAGGAAGAACTTGACCAAAGAAGCTGTCAGGGACCACCAGATGGCCACAACTGGAGGCACTCAGACCGATCTATTCACCTGTGGCAAGTGCAAGGGGAAGTGCTGCACCTACACACAGGTAAAGATACAACACGTGCTTTGACTGTGGCAGCAGTTTGCACTTTTATGGCTGTTTTGGTTGGTGTTGAAATAGGTTGAACAAGAAATAACAAGTCATTAAGGTGGATCATTTATTTCACCCCTTGTTAAACTGGTTTAACATTTGTCAGATGAGTCAAAAGTAAAGAAAATCCACTTCATGTTCATTGTTACAATAACTTAAAATGTGATCATTCTTGATATTTGCATGGTATTCAACACGTAATGTTCGAATTGGTGCCGATGTATGATAAGTGTTTGTGCTTTTATAAAAATCCTTCCCAGGTTCAAACTCGCAGTGCTGATGAGCCAATGACCACGTTTGTCTTCTGCAATGAATGCGGAAATCGATGGAAGGTATGTTGTGTTGGTTATTAACATGTCACCTCTGTTGCAGTCCATCATTTTACTCACATAAACACACACGATTCACTATTTCATTGTCGGCATCATGTTGCCCACGGGTGAGGAATCTTTTTACTATTAAGGGCGATTCAATTTTTATAACATCCTCTGGGGGCCATTCTACATTATTGAACATGTGTCTAACACTACCCTCTCTAATGTGGAGGGATGGTTAAAGTGCTGGAACTGCTTCTCTTTGGCAAGGCTCCGATGTCAGATGATAATGACAATGATGCTTTCTCTTAAACAAAAAAAAAATCCTTTAGTCGTGCTCTCATCAAACTTGGCAGTAATCACACACACAATTAGAGGGGCACTGAGAGAGTGCACAGCATCACCAAGGTTAAAACCCCATCTCAAAATATTAAAGTACCCTTTAATCAAATTGACTCCAAAAGTGAATGGGGTTTTTCTTGGCCTAAACCCCACCCTTCCACTGAGTTTCATTGAAATCCACAGTCAAACAGCAAAAAAAACGTACCCTCCTTTGTGGAGGTAACATTTTCTAGTCTGGTTGTATTTGTTCTATCTGATGATAAGAAGGAAAGTGTTTTTTCAATATCCTCTGCAATGGCATCAATTCACTCTGGCTCAGTTGGTAGAAACAAACAGTTTTACTTTGTCTGGTTGTTGTAGCTCCACAGCAGAAGCAATGCTCCCTTCACAAATTCTCCTTCTACAGGAGCCTTCAGCTTCTTAGCAATAGCTTCCAAATCTTGCCTCCATAAAACCGTCATTGTCACAATGCAGATTTGTAAAAGCTGTTTAAAGCTGCATGAAGTTTGTATCTGTGTACTAATTTCTTTTTTGTGTGTGTGTGTTTTAGTTCTGCTGAATCTGCAGGCGTCACCCTCAGCACTCTGACAAGTAGCAAAATTCCTGGACCAGGTTCTGTCTCTCTGCAACAGATTGGAGCTTTGTGTTATGTGACACATGGTACTTTACGTGCCATACAAAGATGCCACTGCGGTTACCGTTTGAATAAATATCCTGATCATAGATTGAGCTCATTGTCAGTTGCCCCTGTCCCCCTCCCCCAAAAGGTCTTTTGCTATTGTTATTAGTTGTTTCTCACCGTCAGATATATATACGATCAATTTTGTCTCATTCTCTTTTATCTGCATTTTTTATATGTAGTTTTAACACTTTGAACAATTTTACTGTGTTTCCCTCACAACATTGCATTGTTTTATTTAATTTCTCAATAAAGTGTAATCCATTTGATTAAATAGAAGTGCTTTTCATTTGCAGTGTCATGCGCCTTCTGTCTTCTCTGGTTATATGTGAAGCTTTGACATTTCACACTGTAATCAGGACATGTGTGGGCATATTTGAAGACTCCAGGAGGGAGGACATCTTGGCGGTCCTCACGTTTTAAAAATGCAGTTTGATGTTTTAGACTTGGTTTTAGGGGTAAGATGTAAATTGTGGTTAGTTGGAAGCCTTGGTTTCGAATTGGTCATGATTAAGGTAAGTGAGACGGTTTGGTTTGAAAATGGAAGCCAATGCAGTGTCCTAAGAAATATAGCTGCTCCAATTCATGTGTTTCTCTGTGTGTTGCTCAGTAAACATTTGTTATCGGTGGAATATTCATCACATCAAAGTGAATGCTGATGAATGCATATTAATCTGTCTCGGGACAGGATAATGTCATTGGCTGAACCGGGGAAGACGCCCAATTGTTTCCCTTTACTGGGGGTTGTTTTTTTAATTGCCAGGTGCAACCACTCTGCTCCTGAGCTGCTGTGCTGTTTTACTTCCACACGAACTGAAGCCAGACCGCTGACACGAGGGTGGATCGGCCAAACCTCAACTAATATTTACTAAATCAACCAAAAATAGAAAGGTGAGCGTGTACAACACACACACATATATATATATATATATATATATAGTCTTCAGTGCACATTGTGTATGATTATTACTTGATAAGGGGTCAGATTCATACGTTTTATCTTATTTAAAGGACACTAAACTAATTCCCTCATCTTTATGAAAAACATTACAATAATAATATTCAGATTCGCCTGCCTGTTTGATTGCAAACATATTCCTGTTAGGAAAATATGTGGAGGGATTGTTAAATAATTTATCAATTTCGGTGGCACAGACTATTTTGACAGAATTTGCTTTTTTATCATAATTTACCTGATAAAAAAGAGTCTTCTATCTTCAGGTCTATTTAGCTGAAGTGGTGTGAGGAGGGAACCTCAGTCTTCGCTTAAAATGCATAAAATATTTCCATTTATTTTAAGGTTTAATAACTGTTGTGGTTTGGAGATCAAATCATTCAGGAGTCCATAAAATTATTGTGCTTTATTTTATCTTAATCAAAATGCCCACAAGTCATTTTTTTCTTGGAGAGTAGCAGAAAAAAACTAAACCATATACTGTAAACATTCACATTATGTTTTTTTTAAATGTATTCCTAAGTAAACTCAGCGCAAAATAACACATTTCATATAGTAAACAGAAGAAGAAACAACATTTATAGGCATCACTCCAAACCATTGGCTTAGATTGTGTTTTGAGGTTGATCTGCGCAGTGTATCCATCAGCTCAAATTGCACATAGTAAGTTAAAGTTAACTCTAAGACAAGTAGAAGTGCCACCGTGAAGCACACAGGTTGGCAAAAAACGCTCCAGTCCTATCCACTGATAATTGTCCTCTGCAAATAAACACGTGTTTTCATCCTCCTCCTCCTCCTACACACCGATGTAGTCATGACTAAGGAATCGAGACAAAACACACGCGATAATTTGGCCAATGAGAGGGACGATTTCCAGTAAACTGGCCTCGTGCTCCAGTATCCACCCTTGCGGCAAGAATCTGAAAACAACCGTTGCCCATGAGAAAGATGTCGCGAAGTTGAATGTCAAGGCACTTCCCCATGTGAGGATCTTGTCTTTGAGTGACATGTTTGTGAGGCAACAAAGTAATTCAACTAAAACTATCAGAATACATAAAAGTATTGAACACTTGGCAACTCCAATTTTACTCAAAAGGAAATGCTGGATGCGATTATACATATGAACACAGTTTACATGGTGGCTTTGGTGTTGCTGCTGACCTGGCCTCACCCCACTGTCAGTTTTAAACGAACGGTATCATGGAGCAGGTGATACGCTGGTCGCATATGAATTTGAGAAACGCTTCATTTTACAGGTCCATAATTTCTGAGTAATTTCTCACTACTTGTCAGGTTTTCTGGGGATAGTTCTATTGTTAATCTTCATGTTCAACTAATTGGTAGCGTCACGTTAAGTTCAGCAGATCAGCTGAAGGTGTCTGCAGACTAATGCACAGGCCTCAATGGAGAATTAATAATAATATATTTGTTTGGAAATTTAACTTTTTCACTCTCTGGCAGAGTTAGACGGGAACATTAACAACACTACGTCCATGAAATACGAGGTTGCAGTTCAAGCTACAACCAGCAACTCACTGGTTCACTTCAGCACAAAGACGGGAAATGGGGAAAAAGTCTGTGTCTTACTCGGTGCTGGATTATTTTTCTATTTGGCCTGGAAAACTTGATACATTACAGATCCATAAAATGAAGTGTTACCCAAATTTCTACTTGTTCTAACAGTGACTTAACAGTTTGCTTCCCGGTAGTTCTTAAATATTATTTGTACTTATTGTTTTTTTCTATATTGGCAATAGATATCAATAAAAAAAATAGTTTATCTGATAAATAGAATTATTATGGTTCTTATGTCACTCTGATAAAACTGTGGTACTGTATGAGGTGTGCAGTGAGTAGCAAAAAAAATAGGCAATTCTCTGTAGATAAGATTGAGTAAAGAAAGATAAAACAGCCTTTTGTTGCTAGCTGGACTTTCTTAAGGAAACAAATTGCACAACGTGACAGCGCTACTGTCACTTAGTTACTTTGACCACATTTACAGTCGTTTCAACCACGTACAGGTTCTGCGTGAACTGGAGTTGCCAAGTTGTTGTCACAGGTACCAAAGTGTGAGGTTCGGTAACAAAAACAGGTTGAAAACAAAGTAAATCAAATCATACAGTACCCCACAAAGCTGCCTGCAAGTAGAGCTAACATGTAGCCATTGACTTGAGCTTTGATTTTCATACGCAGTAAATAGAACCAGGCGTTTCCACATAAAATACCCACAATTCCATTTTTTTACTATTTACAAACTCATAAATATATATAGTCTACAGTAGGAATCATTTCCCTCCCCCCAAACAAACATACAAAAACAATAGACCATAAAAAACTCTGAACACAAATAAAATAGATCATTTCTATCAAAAGAAAGAAAAAGAAAACAGAAACGTATTCATATTCCTTTGGAGTGTTTTGTTATGTTGATCCGTAGCAGTACTTGTGATTTCAAGCCCTCGGGAGATTTTGAGACCTGAGTGTCTTCGGTCAGGTGCAGATCACAACGGAGCTGAGATCCCTGGGAGGGGGCCAGGCCTGAGGCCCGGTTCATGTAATCCTACACTGAACATACAAAGTAAATAAAAAAAAAAAAAAAGAGGGGACGGATTAGGTGGGGTCGGGGGTAAAGAGAGTTAAAAGATCACAGGTCGTCATCACCTTATGATTCGGGGGACTGCTCTGACAGAGTGTTGAGCAGGTTTTTGTAGGCCGAGGAGTTCATGTAGCGGGGGTACGAGTCTCTTTGCATTAGTGTGTAGATCTGCAGCTGGGCGTCGTCGAACGTGTGCAAGTTGGGCTCCAGCATGTTCCTATTGATGGACTCGCGCACACGAGAGTCAAGGCTCACCTGAGGATGAAACATCAGGTAAACAGCATGAGAACTTTCCATGTCCTTTCTAAGAATGATTTATCATCTAAGGAAATATTCCGTTTTTATTTGTTTTTCTCAATGTGAATCAAATGTCACATTTGGACAGAGCCACACTGTCTGTTTTCTCCATTTCCAGTTTTTAAGCTAAGCTAAGATAACATCTGGTGGTGGAGTGATTTCCTTTTTTTCTCATCTTACTCTCACGATGCAGGCGATTAGCCGACTTGCTTGTATTTCAAACGAGATGAACATTTGTCAGATATCATTATGTTTCACCCTTTAAATCAGCAAAGTTGTGACACAATGAATCTGTGCCAACCAACCTCTTTAGGTGAGAGAATAGAGATGTAGTCCTCGTAGATGACCCGAGCTTTCTCCTCTACCGTGCTCTTGTTGGCCTCCTTGCTGAACTCCTCGCAGGCCAACCAGAAGAGCATGTTCTCCTCGCTGAACTCGGTGCGAAGGAACTGTCTGAAGGAGTTCCTCCCCGCTGGGCAGCACATCAGCTTGTCAAACGACTGTCCCCACGAGCGCACCTCTTCCAACGTGGGCTTAGGGCTGCAGAGACAACACAGGAGTGATGACTTCAACGTTAACAAAAAGAAAAGGTACAGTTCATTGATGGGTTTAGTGAATATGACTAACCAGTCTTCACAGTCTGAGGTCCCTTCCTTGACGTCAAAAGATGCTTTGCGGTTCCTGTCATCCCGGTCTTCATTCCTAATGATGACACAAACGTGTTAACGCACTAAAGAAGAGCCAAATAGAGATTTAAAAACCACAAACACTGCGGATGAGACAGGATTTTTCTTGAATTCTTATGGAAGGCGTTCAACTGACAGTGAACTGCACATCATTCCCCTAGAGAAATTATGTATTAAGATAAATCAGTCATCTTACTGTGCACATCTATACTTTACACTGCAGTGTAATATAAACATGCTACAACAATACATATACTTCTGCATGCAATTATAAGCAGGTGTATGCTCTACATTTATTAATCTTCACAAAGGAACATAAAACTAACTTTTAAAAATGTATCACATTATTCTTTATATTTTCAAAGCACTGTCAGAAATTATTAGTCAAGTAATCAATTAGCTGATTGAATGAAGTTAAATAATGAAATAATGACTCGATTGTCCATCATTTTAAGGCACAATTGCAGAATTTATATATATTAGATATGTAAATACTATATATAATATTGTCCAGGTGTATGTGTGTATATAATTGACTATTTCTCAATTTTTCTTGATTAGGCCAGTTTTACATTGTAATAAAGCTACTGGACAAATGTCTGGAGATCAGATGCAGAAATATCAAGAGCATAGGACACAAGCTGGAGAACTGCTGTTAAGACACAGGAGGTCTCAGGTGGAGGAAACCTACCAAGAGCAGCTACAGCAGCAACACCAGCAGAAGCAACAAGCATTTGAGGCCCGTGGATTGGCCTGGCCCGGCTGGCCCTGCTGAGCCGGTGCAGTTCCCCCCGCTGCCGACTCCTGCTGCACCGACATCTGCCTCTTTCGCATCTCCATCCGCTCTGATCCCATGGGCTGCAGACAGAGGAGAGAGGAGAGGGAGGCGCTGAGTTGAGTGTTTTGATGTCAGGAGTAGTATTGAACTGAGATTTTGTCTCGTGGTACGGAAATCTCTTGAGTTTACAAAGCATTCATAAGATACAAACCAGAGCCAGTGCAAAGGAAGATGGAATGAACAACACTGGGTGTAACAAGAGCAGAGGTGATGGCAGTGTGGAAGCTTCACTGTTCTGACAGCATCACGTTCACTATGGTTGATTAAATTCATTGGAATTGGACTTACCAATTACCAATATCATTTATATCTGCAGGAATTTATTGCCTGTGCTGACATATCCAGAGGTCACACTGTAAAGGAATTTCGCTCCACTCAGAGTTAAGGTATACGGAGGAATAATTTGATTATTTTGTTTTTCCTGCTGCCGAATATTTATCCACCGTGCACATTTTAGTCCCTCTAATCTCAAACTGGCTGCATGAGCCCTCATACACTAATTGCATGTGAAAAACAGGATGGGTTTTAAACCATGGGTTCAATATCCATAATCCAAAATCTGAAATATCCCATTTGTTAAAGCCACAGTGTAAAATCAGTGCATTAAAGGATTTGCAATGTTCACTGGGGTCAAATGGAGCAATAAATTAAATACAATTGCAAATAATGTAAATTATTGTCAGATTGTCTTGCACCTTTAGGCTGCATCCATGGTGTTCCTGAGAAATCCATTATAATTGAGATTATAGTTCTCTGGCGTATTCAACAGAATCACCATGAAGGTTTAGGCCTATATGGACTATAGAGACAGGCTCTGCTCACAGAATGACTTCTTGTCTGATTTTAACAAATGTGTCATCTCCAGGTCAGACACTGCCAAATCCTGTCAGATCATTTATGTAACAAAGCTGTCACTTCCAACTCACCGCATCATCCGGCTACTGCCTGACACAAGAAAAAGACGCTTCAGGAAAAAAAAAATGCCTCAAGATTTGGCGTATGGGAGGGGGGCCTGAAGGCGCAGCTTGCAAATCTATAACCGCAGCATCGCTCTATCACAGCCTTTCAGTGAATACAATACCATTTGGTCATTTTCTAAAATGGATCCGTGCGCAGTTCCTCTCAGATTCGGGGCTGCAGATTTCGTGCGTCGTGCCAAATGGCATATTTTTACGCGTTAGGTGTCGGGCACTTCAAAGCTGCCACAATTGCGGTTGTACACTATGGCTTGACTCAACAGCTATAGACGATGAAATGGGGGGTGGGGGTGGTCGTATCCATTCAAATGAAAAACCATGATAACAACATAAACCACAATTCTTCTCCTTCAATCCCGCTGCAGCTGCACGGACCTGTGAGCGGTTCGAGGGATTTTTTTCTTCTTCTGATGGTTCCTGGGCGATTGAGCAGCAGAAAACGATTTATTAGCAACTCGCATCAGATCAATGCAAAGTGCCACCATGAAGAACCATAGAGCTTCATCGCCCTGGACAACCGCCGAAAAGACACAGCCTAGATCTGTAAAAAGCCCACTGTACGGCGATATAGTGACATGCCATTTTAAAACGCCGGGGAAACGAGCTAATAACACCACGCTCATCGAATATCCGTGCAATCATACACCAGTTCTGCTACCAGTACTTACAATTTCACCATGTATGCACAGCAAGAAGAGGTAATTCTTTGCCTTGATTACATCCGATGGCACATAAGGCTTTTTTCCTCCCGAACGGCTGCTTCAAGTCAGTACGCATGCGTCTTGTCTCCAACTCGTAGTAGCTCAGTGAGGAACGTAAAGCCCCGACAGTATGGCACAGGTTTACTGTGCAGGTCCAACCCTGTCTTCTACACGGAGGACTGCAGACACGAGTGGTTGGATGTTAGTTTATTATCAAATTCAATATGGCACGTATCACTTCAGGCAAAGAAAAAAAAGAAGAAAGAAACAGCCATACACTCCAGATGAGCTCTGTTTGTATTTTCAAAATTCAACACATGTCAGAGCTCGAGCAGAGAGAGAGGAAGTTTGAAACGACGAGCGTTTTGCATGAGGTCGCTGTCTGTGGTGCTGAAACGGCTCATGCCCAGGCTGCTGCTCTGCTCTGAAGGTTAACACGCCTTTGACAGCCACTGTTATGTAATCTGTAAAGGTTAGTCTTTAATTCACATTGTTCAACGATGTGTCCCACAACTGCATCTCATTGAGTGTCCCGTGAATGAATTTCTGATCCATTAGTCACGCCCTTACTCAAACTCATCACAAAGTCTCAATGTAAAAGTCGATAGACTTAAATTTCAAATACACACATATAAATGTGTGTTCTAACTGATCCAAGCTCTTATTCTGAATCTGTCTTCATCACTTTGCTTGTTTAATTGTTGTAACCTGGATTTATTAGATTAACTAAGTATGAGCTCTGGAAACTAGATTCACCTGCACAACTTATAATATAAAAGATCAAACATCTATATTACATGAAAAGTCAATTTCCCCTTTATGGGACTAATTAAGGATTGCCTTATTTTATAATCCAGAAATGTACTTGATGATGTAAGGATGTACCGGTTTTTTAAATTTAATGCTGATACATCTTGGAGAAAACCTCAGGACAGTTTGTTTCTTTAGTTTTGTTACTAATGCTACTCTGGAGTCTTTCTCTTTATGTTCTTTCCCCTTTTTTAAATAATGGCGTCTCTTTAGACTGGGCTTATAATGTGCAAGACACAGTAATACAAATCAATCAATCAATCATATAAATAAATCTTTCTCCCTGTGTAGCACTGTTTATCTGAATTGAGAGTGTAGCTCCTTGCACAGATGATTCCTGGGCTCATCCACAGTTAAGGCCTGTGACCATGTAGAAGACAACACTGCCATCTGAAGGTAGCTCAGACTACAGCACCAACATTATTTTCTCCACATGATAATAAAGCAATAACTGACTTAATAAATTCTCATATTAATTTTCTGAAAGCCATGGCCACATTGGCTAAATTATGTATTAACAGGGCTGCTAGTATTGCACATAGTGGTAAAAGTCTTACAAGTATCACACTGGATCAGAGAAATTCCTGTTTCATACAGAGTCAAGCAACAAAGTCATTAAATATACATTTTCACACACATCTTTCATTGGAAGCCACTATTTGCCATCTAATAACATTTCTCTCTTGAGTGCACATCCTGTCTTGCTTTGTATAAACACCAGATGGCACTCAACAGCCACTTACTCTGCAAAAGTCCAGTACAACATATTGTATTTTACCTAATTATCTACTTAATTTACATCAGCATATTTATTGCTGTGGCCTCTCTGGGTCAGATTGTCATTCAGATGCTCTCTGATAACACGGAAATCAATTCTCCACAGTCCCGCATTGTAATACAGAGTGTGAGCATCTGTAACACAAGACTCAGTGGAGAACTGTTGTTCATACAGTGTCTGCACTGACCTGGTCCGGATCCAAATGGACCCACTTAGAGATTCACCTCTTCTGTCATGTTGTCAAAAAGGGCAAAGTCTTAGATTTCTTTACTGTCCAGATTCATTACTTCCACACTGTGCTCATATGGGGTGATCCCTGAGTGCCCACACATCTTCATTGCCCCCAGAGACATAAACATGTGACTTTTTCTCTGCAACACTTCATTTAACACCTTCCCTTGTGCTCAAGTTATGCAACACAGACCCACAAATAGCCATGTGAGATTAATACATACACAAGCGACGAGTGATACTTCATGCTGCTGTGGTTTGATGAGCACATAGACTTGCACAGTGCCCAGTGTTGGAGGGAGTCTGAAGGTCACACAGGAGAGGAGGACGACAGAACTGGGCGACGAGATCAGAAAAAACTCCTTTCGATATGTGATTAAGGGGATTTGAATCGTTGTGAAGCACCGACCCAACACCTAATAGCATATGCGAGCAGTTTGAAGGTGAAGATGAAGTGTGTAATCACAGCAACAACTGTCGCAAGAGAAAATAGGAAACATAATTTTCTCCCCATTTGTTTTGACGATATTTCTCTTTATTGCTTTTCTCTTGTACCTCCAGGTGTGTTGATCAAGTTGATCTTTAGACTATGAAGGTCAGGCTTGACTTATTAAAGCACAATCAGTTTTCAATCCTTGAAACCAAGTTAAACCATCATTTGTTCTTTTTGCCTTTTTGTTGCTTTAACATCACATTATCAGCGTAACTCGAGGCGGTCGGTCTCCATGCAGACTGATGCCACAGCTATGTAGAGGTAAACACAACTCTACTGAGCTCATTTCAAGGAATATTGTTGTAGCTTTGCACACACAATTTCTGGTTGTGTCTCTGTCTGACTGTTGTCATCATTAGAAATGTTTCAGGGAGCTGTTGTCACTGAAATTCAGTTATTGGTCATTGAATAAAATAAATACATTAAACACTAATGAGGAAAGGGTTAGATAACCCTGACCCTAGATAACAAACAATCAATAAATAAAGTAATTCAATTTTGTATATATGTTTATCACCCATATTCATTTAAAGTCTATAAAATTGTCTTATATGATCTGATAATCATATCCACAAAGATGAAGGTCATTTTGTTTTTTCAATTATTTTAAACAATGTGGGTTCTTTAGCCTTATTGTTGCACAAAAATGCAATGTAGATGATGTTAAATTCTCAATTTTAAAAGTGCAATATGCATAAAGGGAGGGATGTGTTCCTGGTGTGGCAAAGAGTGATACTGTCAATTTGCTTTAATGGCAGTGACTCTGAAATGAGGTTTAAGTAGCTTGGTCTTTATCGGGACATGCTGGTAATTACTCCTGCAATTATGTCTTTTTGGAGTCTGTGATAAGTAATCATCTTAAAACTGGGCCATAAAGGTCGTAAAATTACAATTGGAACATAATTAAGCAGTTAGTTGTGAATGGTATGGAATTCTTTGCAGAGTTGAGCGAATGCAACTTTGACAATGTGACTGAATATAACACCACCCAACAGCAGAGTGGGTAAAATAGATAAAGAATGAACTGAATGCATGGTCACTGAAGAGTGATTTATCATCAATGAGAAATAAGATGGTGCATGAAAAGTATCTTGGACTGTATGTATGTATGCTGGATATGGAATAACAATCAAGATCTGCAAATTACTGAGATTTCAGTTGCACTAGCATTAAAACAAAAACAAGTCAGGGCACCACCCATTCTACATACACCTTCTGATGTCTGATAACCTGTAAAGTAATGACCCATCATCAACTTCAAGCAGCATCCATGTTGGCAAGAGCAAGAAAAACATGTTATTCTGACTTGGGTGTGATCACACATTGTTCCACGGTGATTAACCCTGATGTTAACGCCAGATAAACAGTCATATTTCTTAATTAGCTCATGTGATTGTATTTTATTTTGATTGAACTGATGGCGGAGGTGCATTTGCAACTCTTCTGCCAACACTTTATTGACATGTCTGGGTTTCTTTTCACCAAGTTGGAGATGTCATCAGTATGTCATCGGTTATCACAAATCCCTGACATAACATTTTTTCAAGCATATTTGACATAAATATCCACAAATGTACTTTATGTTTTCTACAAGTCTATAATACTTGTTCATGAGTCCTGATTTCTTTGTGTTGTTAATGGTTGTTAATGGTCTGAGTTGACTTGTGTCCTCCCCTTCCCATCTGAAGGCACTTCCTGTCTTTTCAATCACTTCCTCTGTGAATAGTATCATACGTAGTTCTCTCACACCCTGAGAAATCGTTATTATCCATTTACCTGAGAATCATTCTGACACCAAACTAAAACTTCACAACCTCTCTACTATTTTTGGAAATGATTTAATTGTAAGTTTGTCATTAATTAATATTGGGTTTTGATACTAGATGCATATGTGACTATGTTGCTTTATTCAACTATAACGTCCTGGATCTGCCCCTTATTCCACATCTGCAACAAAATTCAATGGCGTCTCCTCAGGCCCAGGCTCCATTATGTTTGGTGGAAATCGGTTCGGACGTTTTTTGCATAATCCTGCTTACAAACAAAACAACAAACGTATCCTGCGTGACTGAGGTAATAAATGGTATGGCACTATTTACAGACACACCATCTCTTTCTTTTGATCTTCTTAAGCCTCGCTCAGACAGGAAGTGCCTCCCTAAATAGAGGTTTGGCAAGAAGCAAGGAAGTCCGCTGACATTCGAACAAGAGCGATCTGGTCACAATAGCAGCAGCAACAACAACAGAAGAATGAATACAAATAATGTTTGGAAGTTGGTGACAGTTTAACTATAGGCAGTCAGACTGATTCCTTTTGAACACTTTCAGTGACAGACTTGTGTTATGTTGTTATCTGTCACACAACAATTAGCATGTTGTGGTTCAAATGGTGTCTAAAATGTGTATTCTGAGCAAAATAAACTGTTATGTAACGTTGTGGTTTTACCTTTGACTTTTAATTGTATTTGCTACATGAAAATTAACTCAAAATTCATAATCAGTAGGTTTATGATAATGAGGATGTTATCAACAATAGTATTCTTAACTACCACATGTCCGTACCTCAAGGCACACCATCTCCTGCTCCTCGCGGTTGGGGTCATTGTAGTTCACCCGGTACCCCACACCGTGCCGGCAGGCCCGGGCCAGCCCCCGTATCTGCTGCCACATCAGGGCTCGGGTGTGTCTGATCCCCCGCAGAGCAGACGTGGGCCTGATCTCCCACTGCCTCACCGCTCTAGCACTTGGCATGCTCCAACCACGAAGCCTCACCGGCCACGTGAGGCTCGAGTCTGTTTGAGATCATAAGAAATCCAGGCGGCCCTCGCTGATCTCCTGTATGTTGTCCCGGAGTCTCTTCTGAAGCATAGTTATGACACAGAGAAAGAGACGGAGAGAGAGGGCAGGAAAGCATCAGTGACCCTGACAAAGAGAAGAGTGTTTACAAAGAAGAGGGCAGAAGGGGATTAGGACAATGTTCCCACTGGATGCAATCCTGATTCCTCTGTGCTTTACTGCATCTCACCAGCTTAGGCCAGATTAAGCCAGGAGGTTTTAGTGTCTGAGTGAGATGGACGGAGAGGAAAACTAGTGACAGACGTGGGTTCATTTGTGATTATACATGCTTCTAGATGAATTCCTGTGTAATACAAAGGATTAAAACACATTGGTAAACTGTGTTTGTCGAGTAAACATATGGCCACAGTTGACGCTTTTCACCGTTCACATGGACGCACACTTAAACTCCTGAGATGAGAACAGTGTTGCTGGAGGGTGTGAGATTTGACCGAGAAGCTTCTGACATGTTTGCTCGTGTCACAAATTACAGACTCACAAGGATACACGCTGATCAAAGCTCTTCAGTGTGAGCAATCAACTCACTTTAGCTCTCGGTCATCGACACAAAGCCACAAAGTTAAAGCACAATACCAAATGATAACACGGCTGATTGGGACTGATTGGCTGGAGTCAGGTTTAGTGTATTCTCGTCTTTCTAGCTCAGAATATCAGAAATATTAATGACATACAGGAAACCACATTATTAACATTGTCTGCCTTTCTGCTTCACGGTTTTTCTGGTTCTATTTCCAGCTTGTCTGTGCTTTGGCAGCAAGGGCACAGACAGGAGATGCTTGGTTGTATCAGTTTCATGTTTCACAGCAACAAACCACATTTATTCCTGTTTGGGTTTTGGGGCAATGTTGGTAAATTATTAAAAAGGCAACAAGGGAGTAAAGAGTTCCTGAATTATTGACTCAACTCGCCAAAGCTTCTCAGGTAAAACATAAACAGCATCAACTTTCCAAACTTATTTTACTTAAAGGTCATTTCTTTTTATTTTTTACTTAATTTTTTTTTTAAGTCTTAATGCAGAGAAAGTGGATGCAGCCTTTATTGTCCAATTAATTGATTTTGCTTTGTAGCCTGAAATAATAGCACTGTATTCCCACCATGAGACAGAAATATTGCTTGAAGGACGTAAAATAAGGAGTATAACGATTTATCATTATATTGATACCCCTGCTTATAGTCAGATCCTCTTCGTACATAACAGCACTGCATTGTTATATATATTTATTTATTATTCATCATGTTTCATTTCGACAATTCATCATCGTATTTGTTTTTCATTCAGGCGTACTGGTGAGTTTTCTTTACATCTCAATTCCCTTGATGCCCCTCAGTTTCTACTTTTACATTTGTGTCCTCGTTCGCGAGCCATTCACTGTCGGAATTAAGTATTTCAAAAATAGTACTGCATTGTGTTAACAATCCGTGATGAGCTAAATATTTCATTAAGTATGTGTATTATTAGCGAAATGTACTTGAAGTATCAAGGGCTTTAGTACTCACAAAGGGGCCATGTTAGTGTTTATTATGAGTACACTATTATAGTTATTATGTTTTGATGCATTAATATGTTAGTGGTATTTCAATACTGTTGGGTAGTTTCATAAATGACATTTTATAAGCTTGTTTGTTTTTCTATTCTTTATTTTGAATGTAAAATCTTAATCTGTGATCAGTATTTAAACACGTGTTCTCAGTCATTTCCACCAGGCTTACTAACTTAATATCTAATTAATATCTAACTTTGATATTTCTGTACATTTTACCGCTGCAGTCACGTGCACAGTCATTTTGTATTTATGAACAGGGATCCTCCAGCCCGAGCATGTGACCGTCACATGACACAGGCAGTCAGCTGTTCGCTCTGGACATTAGCACGGTGAGTGATTCATCTGACTTTATTCTTCTTTACCTCTTAACACACATGGTGTCGTTCAGCAAAACACGTCTGCTGTCGACTCGTGTTGTTGCAGTAAAGTCATCGCGTCTGTAGCGCTCAACATTCGGACTCAGGGTGCACGAGAAGCCGTGTTAGCACAGCTAGCACAGGTTAGCCTCCTCGGTTTATATCGCTAGCTGTTGACAGGAAGCTAACGGTGTTACCTGTGTCCCCACACACAACATTTAAACTTCACGTTCATTCACGTGTTTGTTGTATTTGTCCACGACTTTAATACTTTAACGTCATAGTATGTTGCCTTCACTAAATTGTCAGGAAGACGCATCTTTATCTGTCGTGACATTGGGTTAAGCTAGCAGCTAGTATGACCTGGCTAGGTTCCGCTTTAGCTTCGGTTGTTGCTCCAGTCTGTGATAAAGAAACGACTAAACTTCTTGGATGAAGTGTAAGAATAATCGTCGAACTGCTCTGCGTTAGTGGTTTATAAAACTGTCTTCCTGGTAGCTCTGTCGCAGCTAACCCTGCTAGCTTAAACATGCTCAACAGAAGGAGCACACCCCTGCACTTTACTCTGTAGTGGACACACAGGAAACGGACCACCGGCCGCAGCAGACCCCTCTGATGTTGTGACACTGTTGTGTTTCCATCCAGGTGTTGTTGTATTTCCATCCGGACACATAGTGTTGTGTAGTGGGTCTGTATCAACATGGATATCCGCGGGGCCGTGGACGCTGCAGTCCCCACCAACATCATCGCTGCCAAGGCAGCCGAGGTGCGGGCCAACCTGGTCAACTGGCAGTCCTACCTGCAGTGAGTACAACCACACGTCCTGTCTGATTGAGTGCTGCTGTCCAGTCCAACGCAATGTAATACTGCACAGTACAAGGTCCAGATGAACAAACTACGATCGGACATGTCCACAAATATAATCTAGGACACAACTCTTACTTTTGTTACAACTATAAGAAAGGTAACCATCATATTTAATGTTTATAATATAGGTCATAGTAGAAGTTGTTGGTGTTGTTGCTGTTTACACTCGCCAAGCTGCACAATTTGCATTGTATTAATCAAGTCAGCATGTTTATAGACAAGTTAAGCACTCATCTGTCAGAGAGCAGCGTGCACATCTGAAATCTGCTCTACTCTTGTTCCTCGTCTGTGATTCACTGTCTCGAGTGATACTTCCCTTTTTGAGCCTGTGCGTTTTAATGCAGTAGATCTGACATGTGACTCATATTATCACAAATATTATCTTATTACTTGATTCCGTCTTTCATTTAGTATGGGTGTACGATGACCACGTTGTAACAGTAACTACATCTGTTGTGTGTTTTGCCATAACTAGAACATGTGGTATTTACCAGTTAATTACCATTATTGTGCAGGCTTCTCCTATGCAATTAGCAGCAGCATGCTATTGACAATTCCTCAGTGTGAGGGTCAGTAGTGTACATGAATGTAATGTATTGCTCCAGTATGAAAGAAAATGAGTGTGCAATTCATAGTAGCTTGTGTTAAAATGTTTGTGACTCAATCTCATTTCTTTTAGGAGTCAGATGATTTCAGCAGAGGACTGCGAGTTCATCAAGAAGTTTGAAGTCGCCAACTCTGAGGAGAAACAGGTCATTCTGAGCAATGAAGGACATCAGGTATGAGGGCCTGCACTTTAACTGCACATTTCTGCAAGGACACGGCAGAATATAAGCACCGTGTTCAACATGTCAGTAGATACAGGGGCTATTGTGTCTTTCTGAGTTTCTGAATATCTGTTTTTGCTTTTGCTCAGTGTGCAAAAACCTTTCTGAACCTGATGGCCCACATCTCCAAGGAGCAGACAGTCCAGTACATCCTGACTCTTATTGATGACACACTGCAGGTACACAGACAGAACCACTGACTTTTGGACGTATGGGACATGCATGTGCATATGTAGATCACATCGTTTCACCTCCACAATGAGTTTTGATTTAAGTTTTGGGTGCATTCATGTTGAATTTGTGAAAATGTAGTTAAGATCAAACTATCCTTTTCCTCGAAGTTGAATTGACTTAATCTTAAAGCTGTTTTTCTGACTGTGCTTTGTTTGTTTTACTCTATTCAACAAATATGATGGAATCATTATAAAGTTTTTCATACAGAAACAACCTCCATCTCTCAAAAGCTGAACGAATGATAAATTTGGCAGCTGCACCAACTTCATCTTCAGGAGTTAGTTAGCCTGACAACTAATGTCAACATGTCTGCACTATTGATTTATTATGATTGTTTTTTTTTCTTAAATGAACCAGTAGATGATGTATTGTGCCTTTAATCAGGAAAGCAGACTGTGACTGATTTTACTTTTTGACTTCTTTGCTAATCACTGTCGAATTAGCATCTGCCAATTTATTTTGTTTCTCGAAATATTCCAATCATTTGCTTGTAAAGATGGATTATGTCCCATGCAGTCAATTAGTTTATATCCAAGAACTCACCCAGTATTTTATTTCAACTGTCTCTCAGGAGAACCATCAGAGGGTGAACATCTTTTTTGACTACGCCAAAAAGACGAAGAACACCGCCTGGTCATATTTCCTTCCCATGCTCAATCGTCAGGACCTTTTTACCGTCCACATGGTGAGTCAAGAGATGATGTCTGTTCTCTTGAGTGTCTGCACCGTCAAAAGCTGTAGGGCATTCGATTTTTGCTCCATGTGTCCATCCCATTTTATTGAACATAATAGCTCAAGAAAGCCTTGAGAGAGTTTCTTCAAAGTTGGCAGAACATTTTCACTTTACTGTCATTCACATCCAAAAGGTCAACTTTGTTTTAACATCATGACATTGTGCAAAGTTTCTTATCAAAATCATGACTCAGGAACAAAAGGGGAGGTCACGAGCATATATTTACTTGATTGGCTGCCAGTGGAGGCATACAACTGCAGTGTGGTAATTCTAGTTTAGAAAATCTGCAAAAATCTGTTCACTCTTCCTCTGCACTATTGAAGTGGTGCACGTTAACCCTGTGCAATCCCAGAAGCCAGAAAAGCCTTTACCATAGTTATACGTTACTGACTCTCATCAGGGACATTATCATATGTGCATAGTGGGCTGTAAACAACATTTGAAAAACAAGTCTCGTCCATTGCTAAACCATCGGCACACTCTGGTATTTGTAGTTGCTCACACAAGCTAATTAAGCATTATCATAGTGTCCTGATCTCATTTTTCCAGATAAAAAGGTTGTATTCCATTAAATGCTTCACAACCATGAATTTTTCACAGACTGCTTCTAATCATAGCAAGGCATCAATACTTCCTCACAAAGCAACCTTACCCACTATTCCTTGAGAACAGGCAATTAATGTAATGATTTGTAATGACCACCCCACGACAAACTGAGTACTATGATAGGGCCTAATTAACAATACCACCGATATGGCATCCAGCAGGTGGGCATAATGTAACACAAACTATGTGACACTACACTACACTCAATCCAACAATCACGCTCACTCTTGCTCATTAGTTACAGCCTCAATACTCCACCAATCCTCTCCTGGGGAGGAAGAAATTGGAGAAATGAATTTGTTACTGTCTCATCACAGGACATATAAGTGCTTAACAAGCTGAATTTAAAGTTAAATTGCAGATTTCAAATGTCAACTGTTGGTAGACTGTTCATTGAAAGCTTCATTCATTTGAAATGTCCTTTATAAGGCGGCAAGGATCATCGCGAAGCTTGCTGCGTGGGGTCGTGATCTGATGGAGGGAAGCGATCTGAACTATTATTTCAACTGGATAAAAAGTCAGCTCAGCTCACAGGTAAATACACATAAAACCTAAATGTTCAATATTTTCATATTTTATGCTACAGGGAATTGTATTTTCTGTGGCTAACAACGGTCTATGACACTACAGTGTAATTAGTAATAGTTGTATAAGATTGGATACATTATGTGTCTTTGTCTATGTAATATACTGTATATAAATAATAACTTCTCTGTTTCTTCTCTTAAATTCATCATTTCATGGGTCATTCTTTTCTTAGATATTGGGACATCAGCTTTTTGAGAATCCGGCTTCTGCTTTTGAATTGAGATACATTTATTTTTAAAGAGTAATTATCTCTATAAAATAATTTCCAATATCTGTCACTGTTTATTAAATTCAGCTGTATTTAGGCTCACTGTGAAACGTGACTTAGTTTAATTTATGGAATCCTATTGATTTTGAGTTGGCTTGTCAGATTTTGAGATGGTCTGATAAGATTTGCACTGTAGATGCTAGCTTTGCAATGTCAGACGTGTGCACTTAAGAGTGGGCAGCTAAACAGCTGAGTATTGATTGAAGTTTCTTGGGCTTCTGCATTGTGCTCCAGTATTTTTAAAATATCTGGAGGTTTTCTTCAAATCAGATAAAGCCAGCTCTCCCAAAGACATGATTTCTCTTTGTTTGAAAGTTTCTTTTTCTTTGCAAAATATGTCCTGAAACCAAAACTACTTCTTGCAGTTGTGTTTGATATTAATTTCTTTCTTCAACAGCCAAGCAACAAATCACTCAGCATCTGCGGTCTCTGAATTGCATTTGTGGTCAAAGTTGCAGCAAAAACTGTGTAGTCCAGTGACACTGCAACTCACCTCCAACTGTGAACGTTTGTGCACCTGTTCTTTTGCTTATCTCTTATTAGAACCTACATGGTACAGGTCCAGAAACAAGCTCAGGAGCAGGAACAATATCCCCCAGTGAAGTGAGTATAAGTGAAGTGCATCTTCAGTCACCCTGGGGCTTCCAGGAGGATGGAAAAAAGGCAGGATTTGTGCAAGCTGCAATTTTCAGCTGTCACTGGACTTTCACTTCTGGTCTTTCCCAGCTTTTCCTGCTCTTGCACTCAAGTTTGTCAGAAAGATGGAGACCTGAGTCTTTAAAGCAATCTTAGAGGTTATTTTCATTTTAGACAGCATGGTGTTTGCTGCCACTGGTTGTTTTCAGCTGTACAAAATTGCATGCCATAAGCCACTTCACCTTTAGGCTGAAAGTGCATGACGAACACAGCTTTTGCTGTACATTAGGATAACAAGGTTAATATGAAATTGGATCAGCATTTGCACAGCAGCAGCATCCTACCATTTTCTATTCCATACTGTGTCAAACATAGAATATTCTGAGGAATATGCTCAGAAATATATTTACAGGAGTGGTATCTAATAACTGAACATCATCTTTGTCATTTTAAACCAGGTAACCTCTGCTCTGCCATTCCTCTGTCCTCACTGTTGCCCGTTCCTCTTGCTGGACATCTTTGCTTTTCACCCTTTTCAAATTAACAGATTAATGCAATCTATTTTCTCCTCTCAGCTTCCTCCACTCTAATCTCAATTTACATTATTCTGCTCAGGTGTGATGGGACACTTTTCCCTGCTATTGCTCTGAGTCTGTGATCTAGCATGTGTTGATGTGTGTATATATGATAGACTGCATGTGCAATGCCTCGGGTTTGATGGGTGATGGTAATGCAAGTTTTGGACTGGTGATCTTCCATGTGCTGTCTCTGCTTGTCAACTACTCAGTGTTTCAGAGCTGCATTGATTGAACTTGACCTTCTAACATTTGGTTTGTTTTCCTGATTGCACAGCTACGGCTCACACCTCTGTTTGATCAGATGTTTGCCTCTGTCCTTTCCAGAGCTCTCAGTATGTCCAGTGTGTGGCTGGGTGCCTTCAGCTGATGCTGAGGGTGAACGAGTATAGGTTTGCCTGGGTGGAGGCTGATGGGGTCAACTGGTGAGTAAAGACTCCTAATGAACAGGTTACTTTACCTTTGCTGTTTGTGAATTTATATATATATATTT